CTGCCGCTGCTCCTTCTGTTGAGACTGTGGGGGTTTGCGGCTCTGTGAGGAGTGGCTGGCTGCCGCGTGGAACACTTGCGACCTCCCGAGCACAGAAGTACTTCTCCCATGGGAATAAATTTTCCTCATAAAATTTTTTTTTTGCTTATTTTAAATTTATTTTCCTGTTTTCTACTTTCTTGTTTTTTTCTGTTCGTTTCCTTTTTTTTTTCATCCCCATCCATTCATTTTTTTGCTTTTGGGGCAATCACTATGGACGTTTCTCCTTTATTTTCTACTCTTCCCTCTTTTAATTGTTTCTTCTGCACTCTTCCTGTGAGGGGTGCCGTGTGTTTCCGCCCAACTGCTCCACTCGCACACCACCGACACGCTCATGACGACGGCCCTGTGCGCCTCGCCTGCTGCACGCATGAGGAGGGGCCGCGACGAACGGCGCGCTGAGGGAGCCGTGACGTGTGGGCGTGCGACGAGGGCCTGTGGGGCGGAGCACACATTTCTTCCCTCTTGTTTTGTTTTCTTTGCGGCCAGGGCGGGCAGACACCCGCAGCGCCACACACCCTGCCGCCGTGTTTTTCTTTATTTTTGCTTTTGTGTGAATTTCTTGCGCCGGCAGAGCCTTCGGGGTCTGTCTTGTGAGCATTTATTTTCCCCTCCTGATGTTTTTTTCTTTTGCTGCGCTCACTCTCCCGATGGAGTGACGCGACTGCCGTCGTGTCTGCGTGCTTCTCTCAGTCCCCACACACACGAGTGACTGTGCTCTGCGGGCCGCACTCACGCGCCGATGGGAGGACTGAGGGGAGCAGCAACACGCCGATGACCCCATGAAATATAAACGATGTGCGGACACACGGAGGTCGGACGGTTGAACGACATTTAAATATCTTTTAATTTTATTTTCGGACAAAATGTACGCGGACGGTTTGGTGTGGCCACACAGCAGCCGGCTGTCTTTTGTTAATTTGTGTGGAGCAGTAATGGACGACTTCTTTTTTATTTATAATTATTTTGTGTGATGGGGTTTACATAAGACGAAGGGGAACGTTCTTTTTTTGTTTTGAATAAATCTTGTGTGAATTGCCGCAGCCCAGGCAGCGGCAATTCATGAGTTTGAGCGGTCTTCTAGTTGTTTCTGCCATGCGTCTCCGCTGTACATTTTTGTGTGTCTCTCCGCATGCTCTGTTCCCTTTTTTCCACGTCTTTGTTTTGTGTTTCTGCAGGCACACACAACCACACACACAAGATGCACATTGCAGCGGATTTGGATGCTTCTTTTGTAGTGCATGCTGGCAGTTGCGCGTGGCGGCTATTGTCTTCTTCCGTGGCCATGAGGAGGAGGGAGGTGGAAGGAGTGCGCAGCCCGACTCTCTTTTCCTGCGGGTGTGATGCACTGCGTGTGGCTGCGTTGAGTTGGGCTCCAAATCCCATTGAGGGCGGGATGGCTGTAGGTTTTTGTGCCGCGTCATGGATGGATGAGGGTTCGCTTGCTCCGTGTGAATGTGTGGTGGGTGCTCGCTCCGTGTGCGTGACGGCTGCTGGGATTCCTGGAGATGTATCTGGTGATGCGGATGCGGTGGTTGTGCCGGTGGATGTGTCGTGTGCTCCGAGTGACGGCAGCCTGAGCTATCGCGTGTGTGTGTG